GCACGCCATCTGCATCCCTCCCGCGCCTGCGGCGCGCTCCCTCTTCGTGCGGGGGACGACCCTACAAGATTGAGTTGCCCCAAAATGGGTTTTCCCCATCGAGTCCACGACGAATATGTGCCATGCTCGCAAATCTACCCGGAGTTCTATGCATTTTTTCTGGTGGCTCGGCGAACAAGTGCATTTTGGGGTACATCATTTGTGTAGTCGATCCCCCACTCGATCTCCGGCGGCGCGGCTGCGCAGCCTCGGGCCCCCATGTCCACCTCCTGGGTCCTTCTTCTGGGTTCCTTACCCTGGATGGGACAATCATCGCCCCACCCCCCTTGGATCCGCGGGGCGGGTTGGGCACGTGCTGTCGGAATGGGTGGATGGGGGGTTGGAGGAAAAGGAGGAGGATGAGGGGGGGGGATGGAGGGGAGCGGGATTGGGTTGGCTCAGTCAGAAGGTTAATCCCACCCCCATGATAAATCACCCATCCAGAGTAGGCCTCCCAGATGGGGATGGGTTCCGAGCGGAGGGGGCCGAAGGGTCGCTCCACATCGAGAGTGCGCCTCTCGACGGCGAGAAGGACAAGGCCTTCTCAGAAGGCGGCTCAGAAGCCCTCTCGCCTTCTGAGAAGTCTTCTGGTGCCTCCGGGGAAAACCGAGGGAGCGTCTCAGCAAACCGGGGGACGTGCGAGCCCTCTGAGAAGGCCCGCCCCTTCTCACTTCCTCCCCTCACTCGCCGCCGACGGTCGACGTGCAGCCAGGGGTTGTCAACGCCGATGGTGCCGATGCGTCGCCGACGTCGCCGTTGCATCGACGATGAACTTGTGATGCGGCGCGACCCTCCGGCCCTATCTCTTCATCAAGGAAGCTCCTGTGGGCTCCAGGAGGAGAGCGAGCAACCAAATCGCAGTCGACTTCTCGCCCACAATTCCCGAGTTCCCCCCCCAAACAAATGACAGCTGGCCGCTCAGATAGATAAAGCTCGGGGAAGCTCGGGGATGCACCATCTGGGGGCCACTCTGAGGCACCCCTAATAATCGAGGATGGGGCCACCCCGTCGTTTATCTTTGAGTTGGGCACCGACAGTTTGATCCTGTCGGACAACCAACAAAGTCGGGGATCGTAGACGCCATACCCCCCGTATTCCTCCTCCTCCTCCTCCTCCTCCTCCTCCTCCTCCTCCTTGGCCCAGGAGATGATCGACTAGCAAAAAGCGGCACTGACAAGTTTCGAGGGTCCGCCCCAGAAGTCGACGTTCATGTGGCCTTCTCCCCCCGCAGAAGAGAAAGCCGTTCGCCCGGCGACGAGGTCTAATGTACATGTAATGTACACGGACCCTGGCGAAGCCTATGCTGGGCCCAGGATTGGTGTGTATGCCTCCCGGCCCAAGCCAGGAGAGCGTATGCACCGGTCCTGGGCCCAAGAAGGGCCTGGCCAGGATCGGTGCATTAGTTGGCGTCCTCCTTTGTTCGCGTGGAAACTGGTGAAAGGACTGTACGTTGGCCTCTGCCAGGTGTATTGCAGTGATCTCCCGACGTGGGTCGATGCTTTTCCCTAGCATCAAGGGGGCGAGTGTACCCCCAGTCCACCGGGGAAGGAGCCGCCAGGAGTCAGCCTGGTGAGCACCCTCCATAACTCCCGTGCTGGCCGCTGCCTCGGGAAGCGGGAACTGTGGTAGTAGCGGCCACCCATGGGCCGAGCATGCCTCCTTCGCTGTGCCCACGCGCGCGTCGCTTCGCGACGCGGGAGTGTGGGAGGGTGTTCGCATTCTTTGCGTCGCCGTCCGGCTTGCAACGCGCCGCGCCCTGTGCGGCGCCCTCCCACGAAGCGGCAGGCCAGCAATGGACCTGCCAGGCCCATCTGCCTTGCGGCGCATTGCGCCTCCGCGTCGGCCTTCGCCGACGCCAGCGACTGGGCTTCAGCCTTGAACGCGCTGGCCGTCTTGCTGCGCGCGTCCGTCGCCGTGGCGGCGCAGTTCTCCGCCCGCTTGATGCAATCGGCCGCCGCCTTGCTTCTCGCCGTCGAGATGAGCGCGTGCGCCGAGCGGTCCCGTCCACGGACTGCCAATGCTGCCAGCGGCGCCATGGTGAGCGCCATGGGGGGGTGCGCCGCTACCGATGCACTTGCTGCTGTGGATGGGCGAAGCGGCGGCGGCATCGGCTGCGGTGTGCCCCCTGCGGCTGCGGCGGTGATAGCGCCCAGCGCCGCCGCCGCCTGCTCCGTAGTCTCCGCAGTCTGCTCCAAGGACTGCAGCGTCGAGGCCGCGGGCGGGCGCGGGGCCGACGGCGAGCGGCCTTCGGTGCGTGCCCGAGCCTTGGGCCCGCCCCATCGCTCCTGTCGCCCATGCGCGGCGCGGTCGGGGCGGGACGGCCACTGCGCGATGCGCGGCGGCGCGGGCTGCGCGGGTTGCGGCGGGGGCTGCGGCGGGCCTTTTTGGCGAGACCTTGCTGGCTCGTCCTTGGCCTTCTTCGTCTTCTTCTTCTTCTCCTCCTTCTCCTTCTTCTTCTTCTTCTTCTGCGCCTCCCACTTGAGTCACTCGTGCAGCTCGTCCTCGGACATCAGCTCCTCGAGGATCTCGAGCACCTCCGCGCTGACGAGGGCATCATCCGCGAACTTCTTCTGGCTCTTTGCAGTGCTCGCCCGCAAGTGGTTCGAGTACCAATCCACACAAATCCCTGTGGCCCCACCTTGTAGCGCCCCTGGGAGCACCCCTCCACGCGGCACTCCACGTGGCACTAGGGGCTGGCGTCGGTGCTGGTGTAGGCCCTGGCGCAGGCGCTGGCGTCGGCGCTGATGTGGGCGCCGATGGTGGCTCGCTGGAGGCGCGCGCCGATGGCGCGCGGGCGCTGGCGCGCCGGCGGCGCTGTGTGTGGGCCCAAGACGGCTACGAAGCGCAGTGGCACGACGCACGCGCTAATCTGTCATGTCTCATGCCGACGGAGCGCCAAAAGCCCAGAAGCATGACCATGACCATGCCTACGGAACCAACTTTTCCCCGCGGCCTTGAGGCCCCTTACGGCCAAAGGAAAACACATGCCGACGGACCTCCGAAAGGCCACCCAAAGAACTGCTCCCAGCGATCGCCGCCACCCCCCTCCATGCCGCCCCCCCCCCGCCCAGCGATCGCCATCGCTTCTCTGCCCCACCCCCGTGGCTTCCTTTTCCCGCAACCGCGATCGGGCCGAAGTAAGGCCCGCGCGCCGCGCGCGGGCGGCGCGAAGAAAGGGCTGCACTCGTGCGCGCCGCCGCCGCGGCGCGAGGCCCCGCCGCGGGCCCCGCGCGCGCCGCGAGAAGCCGCGCGGAAGAGAGGGTCCCCGCGCCGGGCCCGCGCGCCTGGGCCCCGCGAAGGGGCGGCCGCAGAGAAGGGCGCGGCGGCGAGCGCAGCGAGGGGCGCGGCGATGGCTTCCACTGTGGCTAAATCGGGGCAGCCGGGGCCACGCGCGGGCGCGGTGGCTTCTCCAGCTGGGAGAGGAACGACTTGGCGCGCGGCCTGCAGCTGTTCCACCAGCGGGAACGCCATGGCGCTCGCGCGACGCGCGCGGGCCGACAGCGTCTAGCGCGTTAGCGGCTAAGGTGGCGGCGATGGCCGCATAGCGGTCGAGATCCCCAAGCGATGGCCGTCGCTGCCCCCTCTCCCCAGGCGATCGTCATCGCTGGCCCCCTCTCCGCTCCATCTCTCAGGAGGAAGAAACACAGACACAATGAATCCTCGATTCCCCAGAAAATATGAGAAAATATGGGAAGTGGGCGGGAAGACAAAAACCTAGAACATATGGGAAAATATAGGGATTCTTTTTATTTGTGTGTATTTATTTGTGTGTCCCAGGGCCCCTTCAATATCCTCCTCCACCCCCGAGCGATCGCCATCCCCATCCCCCCCCCCGCTGCCTGCCTTCTATTCCTTGGAGCGGGCCTCGCGCGCGGCGGGCTTCGCGCGGCGGAGGGAAAAGTGGGAATGGGCGGGCAGGAGGGGGCTTACAAGCTACTTCTACGCTGTGCTGAGCTTAGTGGTCCCTGGAAACGACAGGGCCGTTTTTTTTACCGGTTCCGTTTTGCCGTTGTTTTGCCGGCTCCGACGCAGCTTTTTTACCAGTTCCGTCGCCGTTTTTTGACCGGTTCCGGCTCCAGTTTCAGTCCTGGAGCCGTTTTTTTGCCGTTTCCGGTCGCCGTTGTTTTGCCGTTTCCATTTTCAAGGGACATTTTTTGGGAAACGATTAAAAAATTGCCCTGCCGTTTCTGGGGCCCACAAAGGTGCTGAGTAATGTCGCCTAAGTTCGAACAAGTTAGTTACTAACACTTGTATGCAAGTTACCCCGCACGGTGAAGCATGGGCATACTAACACGTAGCGCAAGTCGACTTACACCGCAAGAGCAATACGTGAGCAAAGCCCCCAATAGTTCTGACATTCGGAAAATTCGCCTTGCTATAAGTATCTAGCTGTACCTGGGTTGCAAGTAACACAAGAAGCTCTGCCCTCCAAGCGCAGCCCCGGCTGGCCGGACAACCCCCCCTGAAAAACTTCAGCAATAACTGGAGTTGAGAAATGTTCGGTTTTTCTTTCGGGTTTTCAGAAATACGATTGTTTTGAATTGTGGGGCCCCGGAGCCCTCGACAAACACCAGAAACATTCCCGAGTTGGAGGATTTTTTCGGGTGTTCCCCATAAAGTCCGCCGTTCGAGCGATTACAATCACATGTTTTTTGGTTTCCTGGCGATTGGAACTCTATGGATCACCAGTTTACTCATCATTCATGTTCGTCGTCTTCGTTCTTCTTCGTCTTCCCGTTCCTTCTTCTTCTCCCAAGGTCTTTATGTAATGCCTTTACAAACGTATTCCTTTTGTGGCGACCTTACAACAATATTTTACTTCTGGAGGATCTTCAATAGCACCCACAAGTAGAAGCCTTGTGTAGCAGCCTTTACAAAGGGATTCCTTGTGTGGCGGCCTTACAAGAAGGTATTAATTGTAGGGAATCTGCAGTGCCGGCACCGTGGGCCCAGGAAAGCTC